GTTTGTGTATGTTTATGTGTATATATAGAATAATTGCGTAGGCAAACATACATGTAGAGTCATACATAACTTTTTATAGATTATCCCTCATAGCAAACCAACAAAGTGCTCAGAATGAGAGTATCCATGTCGTATGTATTGATTTGTTGCGAAAGTGTTTATTTGTTTTTCTGGTTTCTATTCATGTTTATATATATAATTATTCGATCTGGCTACATTTATAGTTGTATATATCAAGGTCTACTTTATCTCTAAGCCTGACAGAAAATGAAGTCTATTATTAAGCAACAAACCTTTCTGCATTTAGAACGGATCGGCCATGTTGAATCGTCCGGAGTCTGCGGTTGCCATCGACCCCTTTGGGAATATGGCGGTGGGTCGAGACGCTTGGGACATCATGTCAGACAACTTAGAGACCACCCAGTCACTCAATACGTTAAGTACTGCGCATCTGACAGCCTCGCCGCATGGAGCGAAGGCTTCTGATATGAATAGTGGTAACAATGGTAGTATACGCAACGCATTCACTGACCCGGCGCCAGCGAGTACAAACGGGACGAATAATGCAGGTGTCACGAGTGCTGCGCAAAATCAACACCACAACCAGGCTAGGCCGCCGATGATGGCGGCACCGGGAAGTACGGAGACGAATCTGGGTGCTGGTACTCTTGGGCGACAGACGATGGAGGATATGAGTCAGCAACTGCAAATGAACGGATTTCTGGGGGGGAACTCCGTGAATTCACTAGTGGGATTCGGCAGTATGATGGATGGCGTGGGCGGAAATCGGCGGCAGATGTTTAGCACGTCATCGCCGGTGCCTACTGTCAATCAGCCGACGTTGAGCCAAGGTGTGGGCGTTGCGAATGGATACCCTCTGCTGCAAATAATGAGCCAGACGAACTATGGGCAGGCTAATCAGATGCAAGAGCAGCAGTTGTCAGAAATCCTTGCGCAGGCGCAGAGCAGACACGCTATGGATGGCCGCACTGGGAGTGTTAGTTATGACATGCCCTCGCATATATTCCAACAGTTGAGTGAGTTGCAGTACAAGCACTTGCAGGTTATGCAACAGATGATCCAGTTGGAGCAGATGCGTCTGGTACATGCGTTGCAAAGCAGTCAAGCGTATGGCCAGGTGACACAGTCTAACACACCCACACGGCTACAGCAGCGGCAGTTGGCTTCTTCGTATCAAAGTGCCCAGCCAATGCAGTCAAACACGCCCACACAATCTAGTATGCAACCGCAAAATACGCAGAATTACAATCAGGATATCCTGTCACAAGAAGCACAGATGCAAGGGCAATTACCAACAATAACAAAACATCAACAACAGCATACTCAACAAGCGCCTCAACAGCAACAACAGAAATCCTCATCACAAGAACGACAGAATTACACACAACAACAACTGCCTACACAACAGCAACATTCAGCGCAACAGCAGCAACAGCAGCAACAGCAGCGACACAGTCCGCATTTAAAAGCACAATCGGAGCAATCGGGTCAAGGGCATCATACACGGACCGAACCACACCAACTACAACCACAACCACAACCGCAGACCTCCCAACTCGAATCACAGCAGCAGCAGCAGCAGCAGCAGCAACGGCAGCAACACCAAAATCAACAGGAGTTACAGCAGCAACGGGAGCTGCAATCTCAGAGGCTACACAGCCAGCAGACACGGATGAGTGGACAGTCTCATCAACGAGACAAGGCTGCAACAGAAGAGGTAGGCAAGAGAAGCAGAAGCACGAGACAGAGTAACTCGTCGGAGAAAGATCTCCCGCAGTCACCCAGCACCACAGGGGATAGCAGTAATACACATGCGCCACAGGCAGCACCGCCTAGTTTCGCACGGCCCCGCATTGTACATAGTGCAGGTCAGAGTGGACCGGAAGAGGTCGACGGTAATGCAAAAGATGTCACGAATACAAACGATGCTCCACCATCCTCAGAGCCGTCTAAAGAGGCGCCTTCTGCCTCTGCCGTTGCAACTCCAGGCGGCAGTACAAGGAGTAGCGCCAATAGGGGCACACAATCCGCCTCAGGTGCGGCAGTTGGGTTACATTCGTCGCCGGCGCTGACTGGTTTGTCGGGCAATGCACAGCATCAGACCTTCCACAACCAACACCAACACCAACACCAGCAGCAACAGCAACCGCAACAGCAGCAGCAACCGCAACCGCAACCGCAACCGCAACAGCAACAACAACAACAACAACAACAACAACAACAACAACAACAACAGCAGCAACAACAACAACAGCAACAACAACAGCAACAACAACAGGTGCAGCAGCAGCAGCAACAACAGCAACAACAGCTACAGCAGCAGCTGCAACAACACCAGCAACACAAGCAGGCACAGTACCAATTGCAACAACAACTCGTACAACAACAGTTACAACAATTACAGCAGCCCCAATTGCAGCATGCCTCACCGCAAACATCGGTCTCTACGATGACACCTGCTCAGCAGCAGATCATGACGCAGGCAATGCTCAGACAACAACAGCATCTACAACACCAGCTGCAAGAGGGAACAAAGCAGACTAGCGGTGCATCAGCGGCAGCGCATGGTGACAGGAGCCAACCGCAACTCGGTGCACCGGACAGCGGGTATGTGTGTATACAGCACCGTAGTAGTATTGGGTAGGATTGTACTTTTTGCTGTTGGTGAGTAATCAGTCGGATCTGCAGATTTTAGAATGTAGACGAACGATAGTTGGCGGCGTATATTTGTTGCCTGTAAGTCTGCATTCTGTGACTCGTTCAGATCACACTCAGTGACAAAATGCTACTACATGTTTGTCTTTTATATTATTGAATTTGTATTGCAATAAGTGATGCAGCTAGCAAGTTCACGTGTCTAAATACACAAAGTCATGTGACACCCTTTACCCTGATCCAGGAACCTCTCTGGGAGTACTGCGTCGAAGCGTGCAGCCAACGGGTCTGCGGCGGAAAACACGTCCACCATGGAAGCCAAAACAAAAGCCCCGCCCAAGAAAAAGGCAAAGACGGTAGGATATATATTGGGTTTATCTGGCGTATGGCGATGCTCTGGCCGCAGGCGACCCGATTTGCTTCTCACTTGCTATTGATTTACTCTCTGCGTGAACGGCAATTTGATTCTTATTCTATGATGGATAAGACTTGAGTGTGGGGCAATGGAACTCTACACATCACGCATCGAAGACTTTGTACCAAAGGATTTCTTTTTCTCGGCGATAGATTTTATGACGAGTTCGAATTGTAGACAAGTGCGAGTCCGGTCGATGAAGGCAAGGTGCCAAATTTTCAGTCTGGTTTATCCTTTCTTTTTAAATCGATACATGCTCCATACAGGGTTCCAAAACCGGCGGGACGAGAACGGCGAATGGCACCAGGCAGAAGAAGAAAAGGGTATGCTTCCATTATAATTTCTATATATATATATATATATATATATATATGCGGTTTATATTCACGCATCCGCCTGTCGTTGTTGCCTTCACAATCGCAGCATAACTCATACCAATTTCTTCCTGTTACTGCGTGATCCCATGCGTTTTCGGGATGATTTGTACTTTGAATTTATGTTTTTGTGACTCTTTATAATTATCGCAGGCCGAGGATGTCCAGCAAACCCTGATTGAGACGCAGCGAAGATGCGCTGCACTGGAAATACACATCCTACAAACACAAGGCGAGATCAATGGGTTCCGAGAGGTATGCAAAATAGCAAACTGGCAAATCGCCTTTTATGATTTCGAGATTTCGATTGGTTCTGTATGTGCGCAAGTTGTGTGTACGTAAAGTAGGTGTATCACTTGAGACAGTCTACTGAGACCGGCGTGTATTTAACAGTCTTCCAATCAACTTTACCTGGGTGTGTATGCTACTCGCAGAAAATCGCAACTGAGCGGCAGAGGCGACAGGGTTTGCCTACGTAGCATGGAGTGTGCCCAAGTCTCGACACATCATATCACTGCTAGCTCGAAAATTCTGGTTTGGGTTCCGTGACATCCATTTAGTATTGTGAACTTGTGTGCGCTGCTCTCGCGTTTGCGTTCGGCACGTGGCTATACCCACACGCTATTACAGAACGGAATATTTCTTGCTTGTTCTTGTGAGCCGGAGTTGGTGAGAAATCTGTGTTTTCAAGTGGCGAGCATGATTGATAAAGATACACCTGCCGGTATATCGCTCGCGTCGTATACAACAGTCCCAGGATCGAGGCTTTTCAACGTGCACCCCCCATTCGCAGCCAGTGTGGGGGCCTCGGAACAAGTCGATACTTGGTATTAGTATAGATTCTATGCGTTGATGGGAACGATCGTGTTCATTGCAGATGATGTGGTTGCAATTCGTATCCCGGGTCTTTAACAATTCTAGCAATCAATCAGATGCGTATCAGAGTAGTCACGATTACTATAGTGCATACGAAGATACCGCTCTCAAACTGGGATGGTGAATTGTGACATTGCTTTTGACCACTGCAATGATGCGCACTCTGACCATGAAACCGATCTCATAAGAATCACTGAAGGGTCGAATGAGCGCGAGCCACAAGCCACCAGGGGTTAGTCCAGTCACACTCTGCGGACGATAGAAACATACGAGCCGGACTTAGTGAGTGGAAACTAACGAGCCGGACTTAGTGATTAGTACGGCAAGTGCACCCGCTTGGGAGTCACTCACAACAGCTCCATACGACACAGGCAAATTCGCACCGTTCCAGTGCAACCAGTGGATAAATTCAGCATAGTCTCTGCCCTAGGAACGAGCGTATCCCGAAGGATATTAAGAAGCAACCGAGATTATGTAATTCGTTCCTTGAACCTTTGATGGGTCTTTGTCACACTGAAGATCGATTCAGTGTTGTTCTGCTGAGATTGTACATAATAGCTCCTGCCAAATTTGTTGATCTCAGCCTGTCTCATGTGCTGTAGCTACATAACCCGAGTCGCTTTGTGGACTGACGTCACAAACTCTAAATGCGAGTAGCGCAATTTTTGAAAGCCAATGGGGACGTTGCGATTTATTCATTGCTAGGTGGATGCTTCCAGGCTACGCTACATTCCGCGTGTTTCATCGCCACAGAATCTTCTTCGCGTCGTAGACCACGCTTTCGGCTCCGCCGAAGTACACAGAAAAGATCTTATAGATTGAGTTCGCAGAGGTCGATATTTAGGAACGCGACAACTTCCCTCAAATCAATTGGCTATCAAACATTGGTCGCGTTGGAAACCATTCAAGTGTATGTTGTCAGTTTTGTGTCTTACTAGTGGTAGCGATCCGCAATGTCAGTTGATTGTCCTGACTGTACTTGTGGCGATCACAATATTGCACTCTCATTGCCATGGAGGCGTTTACTATTATGGCCCACACTTCACATCCCTCGTGAGCAATCGATGGTATTCTCAGCACCGAGCCGCGTAAGCGAATAGAGATCTAGAAAAATGGACATGGCAATTCGAGCTGCAAGTTTATCCTATTCTAACGTGGATTGGATTGCGAGCTTTAGAAGCAATTCCGCTTAACCACACGTGCTGGAAAACGAAAGCATCAGTTAAGTATTATAGCAGCTCTGTCACGTCCATTGTATGGGCTGAGATGTATTACCCATCCGGGAGGGCCGATTTTAGTATTGCAACTCTCCACATGAATATAAACAGAGACAATGGACCCCAGCTATTCACGACCTCCCAATCAGATTCTGCGAAACCTACGTTTGCGCGCACGTGGTGCCTGATTCAAAGGCTGCGTGTCTCATTAGATCTGGAAGTTGGAACTGGCAATCTGTTCTGTTCGTTTCTGATTTTCATATTGGCGCCTGCATAACGTAGTTGAGGTTAAGCTTTGAATTGCAGGCACGCAAACAACAGGCCTCACAATTAGTAGCTTTTAAGGGCCTCGCTGCCCGACATGGTAGCGCAGCATGCCGGTACGCACCTCGAATCTGACTGTGACATGCCCGAAATGTTCGTTTGAGGTCCCATAGCCGCTACACATCTAATGACGAGCCCCAAATCAGGCATCAAAGAATATCATGATCATGACAACTGTTGGCACTAATCAGCGGGTGCAGGTGTACTGTGATGAAAATGAGCAAAGGCGGGAAAGTGCTCGAGAAGCACATCACAGTACTGTCCGAATAGAAAATGGTGCTTGAACCTTGATTCGAACGGAATTTGGTTTCAAGTATTTTATTTCAAAGTGTCGTGGCTTCGATATAAGATCTGAAGCTACCTGTCTTTTAATACCTTCTTGAATGAAACCAGTATGGATACACCGAGAGGCATAAATAGTGGCAGATAGATGGCAAATTTATGTTCGTCTGGGAAGTACAACATCTCCAGTATGCTGGGGTCGAAGAAAGCCTTCTCTGCGTATTGATATGCCTGCTCGGCCGCTGTTTAGTAGTAGAGAGTGATGGAGTTCTGGTGGGGTTAGAAATACGGCCGGATGATCATACTGTGGTTCAATAATGAGCGTTCAGCAGCGCGTTAATGTACAGAGCAGTTGACAAGCGTCCAGAAATCCTTGCTGTGAGTTGAAGTGAGTTATGAACGGAAAAAAAATATGACATCTTAAGCGCAGTAGAAGTGTACTACAACTCGACCACTCGTATTTGCCGGCACATCAGCAACAACGCACTGGAATGGTGTGGTGCATGGCACAGCACCGAACACAAACAAAGGGAGAGGCACAGTTGGCTTTTGTATTGGCTCTGGTAGATGAACAATTACATAGAATGATGTACACATGATGTACACGGTACAAAACAACATGTGACGCATCGGATATAGCAGAATTTACACTATGATCAGTTGCTTGGCTGCCTCTGCGATGTGTTTGACTATAGCCTGGGTATAATATGATTCCATTTCGATTTTTTTTCACAACTGCACACCGCAGTATCATGCGATATATCCAATAGTCTAACTCGCAAACTGGAATATTGTGACGCGGTCACTGCCACAGCCAACCATCCAAGTTTCACGTTGCTTGGCTAAAGCACTGATTCCTCCCAAGGAAATGGGCATGTTCTATACGGTGAAGAGTACACTCGTATCCCTTAGAAGCCCTGCCCCCCCCTTCTCCCTCATGTACAACATCAGTGGCATATGAGCACTATCACGGTGCGACAACTTTGCATACGCATGGCACACACACATAACCACCCGAACATACCTGCAAGCGCATACGAGTATTGCCCTTTCTTCACTAAGTTATCACACCGGTCAATCTCGCTATAAAGTGTGCACAGAAAATAACGTTGATTTAAAATGAGTTATAATTAGGACAGCATACAATCCAGATTGATATTGCGGAACTTACTATAAACATACCAAAAACATACCGGAAAAACAGAACAGTAAGATTCAGCATGGTAAGTGATTCTATATTGTGCATCCATACGTCGGAATAACAGCATCATTTTATACGCCATGACTCTTGCAGAGCAGAACGCGTGATAAAAAAACAGATCATAACTTCTTTATACGGATCAATATACTCGATATATATAAATATATATATATATAAAAAACGTATGTGTATGCATATGTATATGTATATGTATATGTATATTCATAGCACTTGTATAAGTATATGTATATGTATATGGATATGTGTAAGCACATGTATATGTATATGTGTATGTATATGTATATGGACGTCCATATGGATATGGATATGTATATATATATATATATATATACATACATATGTATATATATATATATATGTATATATATATATATATATAATATATATATATATATATATACTATATAATAAAATATATATATATATATTATTATATATATATATATAACTATAATATATATATACACTACACACACACACACACACCACACACACATATATATATA